TGGCCTCGCTGCCTCGGATTTTGGCTCAGACCTGAAAGCGGTGACGAGGTGGGGAGCAGGAGCCCTCCTTTTCCAGCACAGGCCGGGCAGTGTCCAGCAGTGTTCCCCACTGCAGGCTCCCAGGCACCTGCGAGCAACTCCCCACCATTGACTGGGTGTGAGAGAGGTCCCTGGGGGTTTCTGCTGGACAGAGACCTCACCCTGAATGAGCCCCGAGGGGTTTGGTGGGTGGCAGAGATGTAAAAAAATGTTTAGGTTAAGGGGATGGGAGGAGCACCCAGAGATGGGGGACATGGGAACCTCAGCCTACTGCCCAAACCATTTGTGTAGTGAAGAACAAGGCCCTCAGCTTCAGCAAGCCAGGAAATATTAAAAAAATTGAGAAATGGAAAACCCATCCAGTCACAGCACTGAGATCAGTTTAGGACCAAACCACCCCAGGGGAGCTGACAGCACCAGGCACCACGGGAAGACAGACACACGCTTGCAGGGAGAAAACACGAGCAGCCCTGAAGAGCCCTGCTCCAGCCACGCAGACGCTGCCGGGCCCGGCTCCAGGAGCCTCCCGCCCTCCCCACCGCCACCAGTGGGACACCAGAGCTGGACACCAGAGCTGGACACCAGAGCTGGACACCGGTCACCCGGCCCGGGAGGAAGCGGGGTGTGTGAGCTGGGCTCAGCCACGCGGCATCGCTTCATCAACTCTGCTCCTTGTCCCTGACCAGCAGCACCGTGTGTTGGCCGCCGCTGGACACGGCCAGCACCGTGCGGTTCTCCAGCTGCTTGCCCGTCATCTCCACGGGGCTCCAGACGTCGTCCTCCTCCCCCGTGCCCAGCTGGTAGTTGGTGCCCATGCCCCAGGCAAACGCTCGTCCTGCAACGGAGGGAGTGCAAGTTTTGACTTCTAAGTGGTCACAAGACACGGGGATAAGGGGATGCAGCCCCAAACCCCAGGGGACTTCACACCAGGGCAGGGGGCTGAGCGATGGGTGCCAGAGACACAGGCAGGGGGAAGAGGAGCAGCTCCAAGAGGTGTTTTGTCACAGCCATGGCAGCGTGACCCACGGGGAGCAAACCAAACCTCGAACACGAGGTCTCACAGCAGCAGAGTTCAGGCTGCAGAGAAGGGACCGTTAGGCCACCGACCCCCTCCTGGTCAATGCTCTGCTAGGGCCTTGCTGCCAAGGGCCCACAGAAATATTTGAGCAGCTGCTGCCCAGCTGTCCCCGGGGTTGGGTGCTCAGGAGCTGCATCAGCGCCAGGACCTGGCTCCAGTCCTGCCCTGGTGGTGCAAGCAGGATTTGGAGGGGGTCAGGCTGGACAGCTGAGGGGTGAGGGAGGTACACAGGGCCACATTCACACTCACCATCGCTGCTGACGGCATAGCCCACCGATGCGCCGCACGCGACGGAGGAGATGCTGGGGAGCTCGGGGATCACCGTGGGAGCGCTCTTCTCCTCTGCCCCTGCCCCCAGGCCCAGGCGGCCGTACTCGGCCCTGCCCAGGCTGTAGGCTTTACCTGCAGCATGAGGGATGCACAGCAGAGGTGACTCGAGGAGGCAGAAGTCCACAGCAGGCCATAGCCCCAGTCTGACTCTTGGAGGAGGATTGCTCCTCCCTACCACAGCCTAGATCCCTATCAGGGGTGCAGGGTGGGATAGAGACACTTAATTCCCCCAAAATTAACAGGGTGGGTGGGTACCTGCACAGACTGTTGACCCTGAGAGAGTTTACAAGTGACTGTGGCTGGACTTGATGATCTTAAAGGCCTTTTCCAACCAAAACCATGCTAAGACTCCAGGTTCCTGTCATCCTCCCTGCCCTCTGCTGCAAATTCACACCACCCTTGTTGCTTTGAACACTGAGGATGTGGGGGGCTCCAGCACGTCACCCTCACCCCAACACCTCCCCAGCCAGGAGGAGGGCAGTGGGAGTCCACCCTCATCCCATTTTGTGCAGCTCCCAGCCCACCCCTTGCGCCAGTGCTCACCCTCCGAGTCGACGCACACCGTGTGGTGCTGCCCGCCCGAGAAGCCGACCCAGGACTTGGTGGAGTTCTTGAAGCACGTCAGGTTCTGCGGGGAGAAGCAGGGCTCGGTGTCCTGGGTGCCTGCGGGGTGGGACGCACAAACCCAGGCAGATCAGGTGCGTGGCCATGGGCAGCCCAGGCCAGGCACCAGCACTGAGCTGTCCAGCCTGGGCCTCACCCCACCACAGACTAACACAAGCCCCAAAAATCAAATTCCTGCTCAAACCCACTGGCTGCAGGGGCTGGGACCTAAACCCAGAGCTATACAGGGAGACCCCCCCCACCCAGTGTGTCCAGTGGGTGCTTGGTGTTCAGGATTTGGGGCACGCAGCAGCATCCCCCCACCAGGCTAGGGCAGCACAGGACAGGGGAGTCCGCAGCCAGACCAAAGCAGACAGGAGACCTGGAGGGATGTAAGTGCAGCTCACCCAGCTGGTGGTAGTTGGAGAGGCCGAAACCATAGATGTGTCCCTCCTGTGTGATGGCGAAGGTGAAGTAAGCCCCGCAAAAGGCGTCCTGGAAGCGCATTTTGCCTCTGTTGCCTTTGCCTCTGACGGGGACGCGCTGGGGGATGAGCAGGCGCTCTGGGGACAGGAGACAAGGCGTCATGCAAGGTTTAGTTCATCCTTTTCATCCCCCTTTACATCCAGCTCTCTGAACCCAAATAACTTATTTACACAAAGTCCCTTGAGCGGCAGGGAAGAGACTGGGTCTCTGCTCCTCTGCAAAGGGCAGAGCTGGGGCCAAGGGACGCAGCACCGCGCGCCTCCGAGCACCAAAGCAACTCACGCAGCCCCTTCCTTCCTCCGCGGTTGGCAAAGAGCGCCGGCACTCTCCCCAGCTGGCCCTGCTCGCCGCAGCCGCACGTGAAGAGGTCACCGTCCACCGTCAGCATCACCAGGTGGTCATTCCCTGCAAGGAGACGGGTGAAGCAGGAGTCAAGCACCAGGAACCCAGCACAACCCAGGGGCTGAGATCCCACACATCAACCCCAGCTTGTCCCCGCTTGCCACAATTCAGCAGGGTTTACTGCACTGGATTTCCTGACACAACTTAAAACCCCAGTTTAAACTTAAAAAACCCTCATCCTGATCCCAGTTCCCCATCTCAAACTCCAAAGCAGTTTCTCTGGGAAGGTTTAGGGGCACAGGTTGCCCACAACGTCAACTGGGCTCCGGACAAGTCCCCTGGCTGCTCTGCTCAGCTTCCCTAGTCTAGAAGAGGGTGACCCCACCAGGTAGTGATAAGGGCACCCTTGTAAGGCATTTTACATTGGATTGGGTCAAATATTAACAATATTTTCAGGGCTAGAAGAGACACAAGGTCTGTTCTCTCAAGAGCCAGAGGAAAGTGAGCACACGTGGCTTGGAACAAAGAGGAAGGAGAAGGACATGGACCTTCCGGACCTTGACCTCCTCCCGAGGGTTGCGCCAGCCTCATGTGCCAGCCTGACCCACGCACGCCCCAGGACCTTGCTCACCTGAGACAATTTTAACAACAGGCACATTGAGCTGCAGCAGCAAAGGAACGGAGCTCGTCTTCATGGGCTCCAGCAGCCCGATCACCCCGTTGTTATCCTGGGTGGAGAGACAGACACGGGGATGTGAGTCACAGAAGCAGCAATCATTGGCAGAGCTTTCAGCGGCCGAGAAATCAACGTACCCGGAAAGAGCCCCAGACAAAAACCCTGCCATCATCTGTCAGCGCAGCCGTGTGACTGTCCCCCGCAGAGACCTGCACCACCTTTTCCTGCAGCTCCACCAGCCCTGGCGTGGTCTCTGACCCTTCTGCCGAGGTGTCGCGCCCCAGGGCACCTTCATCGTTGCAGCCAAAGGTGTAGATCTGCAGACAGAGAGCGAGATGGTCAGGGTGGGACCCAGAGAGGCAACAGGTTGAGTGTGAAGCCAGAGGACAGAGACCCACCAGGCTGAATTATCCCTCAGACGCCTTAAAACTCTGTGGGCTGTGGCATGGAAGAGGTTGAACCTGAAAGGAGGTTGTAGTGAGGTGAGGGTTGAGCTCTTCTTTCAAGTAACAAGTGGCAGGACAAGAGGAAATGGCCTCACGTTGCACCAAGGGGGTTAAGATTGGATATGAGGAAAAATTCCTTCACTGAAAGAGTGGTCAAGCACTGGCAGGGGCTGCCCAGGGCAGTGGTGGAGTCCCCATCCCTGGAGGGGTTCAAGAAGCCGTGGATGTGGCACTTGGGGCCATGGTTTAGTGGGCATGGTGGGGTTGGGTTGAAGGTTGGCCTTGATCTTAGAGGTCTTTTCCAACCTTAAAAATTCTGTGGAGACCATGCACATCCCTGGAACTGGAGCAAGCTGCACATCTGGGCAGAGCAGGGTCTGATCCAGAGCCGCGCTCCACAACACCTCCCAGAGCTGGTGAGGAAGCACAGCTCAGCCTCCCCACACCCCCCAGTGCTGCCCCCTCCACGCTGCACTCACTTTCCCGGTCTGGCTGAGGCACACAGTGTGCATCCCTCCGGCTTCCACCTGCACCATCATCTCCGGCAGCGATACCAGGGCTGGTTTCTTCCTCTCCATCACGTCCTCCCCTAGGCCCAGCTGGCCCACGTCCCCCTGCCCCAGTGTCAGCACCAGGCCAGGCTGCACCTGGTGGGACGGGTGGCTGACTGTGGGGCAGAAAAATAACATAATATAATGTACAGGGTGGGGAACAACCATTAAAACTGGTCCCTGGGAACAGGGAGGGAAAGCTCCCAGGGATTTTTCTCACCTTTAATCTTCTTCCCCCCTGGAGATTCATCTTCCACCACCAGGTTCTTCTTCACCGTGTGTTTCCTTGGCATGGTGCCTTGGGTCTCGGCCACAGGGACACCCTGGTGGGGGGGGCACCCGCGGGACTGCCTGCGATTTGGGG